AACTACTGTTTTTAAGGCAGCAACAACTGATGACAGGTGGGATTTGTATTGAAGATACCATGCTGTCTTACTTGACCAAATAAATTTTCCAGGGAATCTTGATTTAAATTTCTCAAACAAAAGATATTTCAAGCCCTTCTCCTTAAGAACGCTCCATAGTGACAGAACAGATCTAATTGTTATTTGCCAGCCTTCAACAAATTGGAAATAATTTGATTTATCAACCCCAGCGAGAATGAAAATTGATTTTAATTTGGATAGCCTTGAGCAAACATTCCGGTGGACTTTATACATAATTGATTCCTTAGGGCTCAATTCCTTCTTTGATGTACCAGATTTTGTTAATATGCCAGAGCCCTTCTCTAACAAAAAATTATATTTATCTAAATAATAAGATTCTGTTCTAGAACCACTTCCGCTGATTTCAATGTTTTGATCATCCAGAATGACACTGGAATTTTCATTTTGCTCAGAAGGGGTTGGACTTGCAGTAGCCTCTCCAGAAGAAGGGACATTGAATAAAACTCTAGATACTGAACTGGGACCTGGTTTAGTAGGATGACTATTATTTGAATTTAAAACTGTATTGGGGACACTGGTATGGCAATATATCTGTGACGTGAAGGATCTTGCGGATTACTACGATCAAACATTGAAAAATGATCCTCACAAACATAATAATTGGAAACTTTACGAGTGGGAGATATCTTACAAGCTGCCTTCCATGCAGCAACAGTTTTTTCATCTTTTGGAAAAAGATGGAATACTTTATTTTTGTATATACAAGCAAATTTCCGAACAATGCGGAAATAGGAATTTTTGCAAGAAAGATGAAGCAACCCCAAATCCAGACATGACTGATTTACAAAAGAAAAACAAGCTTATTGAAGTATGCAATCTTAAGTATTCCTGCACACAATCACAAGTGTTTTACACTGAAAAATATATGACAAAGGTTATTATTACTACTTATTATTATATGAAGATTATGAACGATAATTTCTCGATTGGAAATTAAATCAACAATTAAAATTTTAATGTGTAGCTTACACATTCAAAACACAGATTGAAAACAAAATGGAAGTTCCCAGGGAAAGTCAAACTGTCGTTTGTCAAAAATCAAACTCTGTTGGTAAGAAAGTGTCCTAGATTTTGCCTGGAGATTTATGTGTTTTGTGCCTGGAGAGAATGACCTTGGTGTTGCCAGTTCGCCCATAAGACGTTTCACCCCAATGAACTGTCAACACTGATGGAATCGCCCCGTCCATAGCCCCCTTTACTCTGAAAGCCATGAAACTAGATCTGGCAACATTGCATGGCATTCGCTTAGTGGGTCTATTGTGAATTGTCGAGGATATGGGGATACATATTTTTGTATGGGTCTAAGGGTGGAAAATAATCAATGAAACAAAATTGTGATAGAAGAACGGTTTAATAGAAAAATTATCAATTAGTATATGTTTTTCACCTAGAACTAATCGCTTATTGCATACAAATATTAATTATTTATAAGCTAGGATGTCAAAGTTAATAGTTTTCTTTTCTTGTCACTTTTTTCTTTGTGACACAAGTTGTTTTTATTTTTTGTAAAGTTCACAAATAATCTTAAGGTCAATGAATACATCTGATTCTAAACATTCCACAATTAGTGTACCTAAAATAGTTTTATGATCTAATCGGGCATATCACATTTTCAAAGTATTTTCATGATCAATTATATAAGTAAAAATGGCACAGGCATGATGATAGATATATCCTATCTCATCAGCTGGAATACAAAGACCTTCTCTTTGTAAATAATCAAAATAATCTAATTCCAACATGACACCTATGCTCCTAATTAGTTTTTCCTGGCATTTTGTACAACTAATTTTTTTTATGAGAGAATGGCCCACATATCCACATATGTATATTTTTACTGCTTCATCAACATCATAGCTAATTAAATAATCAGTTTCCAAAATAAAAAGAAAGTCTGATATATCCAGTGAAAATGTATCTTGCTCAGATGTTAAGGAAGAATTGCGAAGCTCTTTTAAATCAAATTCTGTGTTGCACGTCTTCAAAACATTCTGAAGTCTGATTTTCTTTTCAGATTCTAGAATTTGATTGAAAGAAATATGATAATTACATCCAGATAGATATCGATATCTACCAAACCTCTTTTCCAAATAATCTGTTTGAAATTTCCCACAAAGTACATACTCAACTGGAAAGTGTTCAAAAGAATAGTCTACAATTTTAATCATAACATAACATATGTTTCAATGCAATGTATGTATCTTTACTGAGTCCAACGTTTTGAATATTTTGATGCCACGCAACCAATTTAAAAATTTCTTCAAAAATTTAATATTTTCATCGTGAAATGGAATGATGGGACACGAGTGATCATCTCTTTTATGCGTACCCTTTAAAGTATTTTTTACATTTATGATACTCCAACAATCATGCACTATTTGTAGAAAATTAGCTGTGCTGCTGTAACTACTGCAAGTTTTAAGGGCAGCGATTGTGGATTCATGGAAAACATTATTTGCCAAAACTACACTTTGTCTTTCTAAATTATTGGGATATAATGTTTTATCATTTAATTTGTAAGCCAACTTTGTTAATTTTTCTATTTCATTCTTATAAAAGCTTCTAATATTTTCAAATGAAGCTTTTTCTTGAACATCAAAATTATTATAATTTGGATACAGAAATGTATGCTCAAAATTTTTCAAATTCAACCAGTTATGATATATATTTTTAAATATGTGGACAAAAACAAATAGTGTAAAATTTTTTTCTGCAGGATCTGATGGATTTGAAAAATATACATTACCATTACAGGGACACCTAAAAACTTTTTGATTTACTCTATTGTTATCAGTGATTACACACAACACTTTAAACCCCTCCATTTGTATGTATCTGATTACATCTACCACTATTTGGGACAATTCATCAGCTGGCATATTATTCACTGGTACAAGACGTATAACTTCTTTAAAATTGGCAAATGCAGATGATATCATGAATGTCTGAATTGTTTTGGCTAGCTTAATTGGATCATTCTCAGCAAACCCAGTCACATTCTTTGCTTTATACTGAAGCTGCATGTTGAAGGTAACTATTTTTTCTCTCTTTGTCCAAAATTGGTGAAACATTAAACTCTGAAGAAATTTGCTTTAAACGTCTACTCGTAGGGAGAATTAAATAATCTCTAATATGTTCATATGTTGACGATGACTGATTGAAAATAATCAATGAACAAATTAAAGTCGGCATATTATATACCTTTTTCGATGTAATGAGAGAAAGCTGGTCCCTTAAAAGTTCTAAAGTTGTGAGATGTTTACTGTTTTGTTGATTTAAGATTGCAATTGCTGATATCAGAAGTTCATTTTCTTTTTTTTTATGCTCCAACTACCACAAAGGCCTAAGGCCTAAACACCCATTGGGTACCGTGGGGCTATAGGGGCATACAGGGGAAAGGGGGGACGCCACACGGACTCTGGCGAGGGAACACGTGTGCATGCAACATGCACACATTCTGGCTCCGCCTACGAGATCCGCCGGGTGGTACCTTCGCGTTCGACAGTCAGAGACCGTCTACCACCTACGGACAATCACAACATCCATAGCCAAGAGAAAAATTTCTCCTGGGACGGGACTCGAACCCGCAGAGCGCACGGCGACTGATCAGGAGACCGAAGAGTCTACTACTGCGGCCACCGCTGCTGCCTGTAGTGCCTTTTTCAAATGGAAAGTACCATCCAAGTCAGTATGCTGAGCAAAACTATACCTTGTCAATAAATTTTCAATCTGAGACCACCTTTGAAGCTTCCGCTCTGGTAAAATCCACCTTAAGTCATTAGGAGATAATTCCGTGTTATGGAGGAATACTTGCACAGTCATGTCAGAATGAATGACTATACTATTGATAACCTTAACACCTTCATCTAACACATCACAGTCAGCATTTAACAAATAAAAATAAAACACTTCACCACAAATTTTCAAGCACCAGTTTTTCAGCACTGTTTTTGTCTGCACAAGTAATTTGAATTCATCAAAATCTACAATCAAGTCATCATTTAAAAATGCCTCAATTTGATCAGTTTCTCTTTGGATGCATTCTTTTTGTCGTTTCTCTGGATCTCGACGTGCTTTCGGCTCTGGAGTACTCATATATTTTGGTAAATTTGCAAATATATGGGGTACAGCTCCTCTTTTCAATGTTGGCCGTGCTAGAGGGCGTTCTTGAAAAACACTATCCTTGTCCTTAAAAACCTCAAAGCGCCTTATTTCACCTTCTGTAAAATGCTTGCAGCATACCACTGAATGTTTTGTTATGGAATAGTTGTCACGGTGAATGGCCTTCAGCCATAACTTTTGAAGGGATTCTTCATTTGGAAAACAAAAAGTTGTTTGTAATTCTTCATTTTTCAGGGTACTTTTATAATTAGTTTGCAGCCTGGCACGCAACATAACCTAGGCATCTGCCTACATTTTGTTCTTGGTTCGAATAACACGTTGTAGGTTCTTGAAATTATTATATCTGATGAAATGCAGTACTGTATTAATTTATACTTACATTCAAACAATTATGAGGAGCTGATTGAAAACAGATCTTTACAAATCTACAGCGTACAAATCAATTCACGTGCGGTCCAAATCACAATCGCAAATGGAGCAAAACACAAACACGAGCAAAATGGACGAGATTGGCGATAGAGGATAGACCCACACGCGGCGTTGCCAGATGTATGCTTCATGGCTTTCAGTGAAGGAGGCTGTGCCCCGTCACATTTGTACAATGAAACGATAATGCCAATGCGGCCAACATACGACAAAGAGGTCCGAGACAGAGATGGAGCTAGTCAGGGCAAAAAGCGCGCGGACTTGAATGAATTGCATAGGAAACCGAGGATCCTTAGAGAAGATTTAAAAGTTATTCAGGCAACTGGAACGAGATAAAATCCTGGAAACGTAATTATAATTAAAAAACCAAGTTTATTTATTTATATATGTATGAAACTTGACAATAAATTCTCCTTTACACATTTGAAGATATAAAAATTGTGGTAGAACATTTTTTCCAAATATTTTTCTAACATAGTTGTATGCTGATGATGAATAAAAATTTAATGTTAGTGCAAAACACCTTAATTCTGGGCTATACTTGTTAGATTTTCCTTTTTTCAACTGCCTGAAAAGCAGTTGCTTTTGGGTTTCTGGGAGACTTTCCTATAAAAACAAATGCATCATAATGTTAAGCTAAAAATTTCATGCACTAAATGTAAAACCTAAATACTGTGATGGTAAAATAGCTAGTAATCAATAGATAGTCAACAGAGTTCCGCAATTGAAATGAAAATTTTACAAATGGAAATAATCTACAAGGTAACAATTGTAGCAGCAAAGTATCTGTTCATCAAATGTCTACCTCAAATACTAGTGACTGAGCTACAGATATTCTCTTCTCCTTAAGTAGTTCATCTACCAGACTACTCAGACTTTTTATTTTATTTCTTTGTCTACAAATTTTACACTGATTGTACTTGTTATTTTTTTTCGTACTCATGAACAGTTTCATGAGCAGTTTTCCAAAATCTGTTCCGACGCTGCAGATTATTTAAATCAGAGATTTTGAAATCCCCAAAGTATACTGGTGATCTTTTGACCCTACAAACAAAAAGAGGTTGTAACAAATGAGAAACACAAAGTTCAATGACAATTACCTTAAATTGCATATGTTTGAAGGTTCACTTGATTCTAAAAATCCTAGATTTTGTGTAACGTTTGAAGGACCAGCTGCCAATATATTTCCATCCTCAGCATGATCGCCATTTTCAGGTTCTTCTACTACTTCACAAATAGCCAAAGTTTGTTCTAAAAATAATTATGTTACTAAGACCCACTTCATCATTCTAAATATCTTTTTTAAAAGTAGAAAAGTTAAAACCTTAAGCTTAGACTGGGAATGTTTTAAAGAACATACCTGTTGCTTTTGAGTTGGATTCTTCATGTTTTCTTTTCAAAACCCTTCGATGGCTACGTTCTTTCTTGAGATGGACTGGAAAATCAAACACAGATGGAACTGGCACCTTTTTTAGTACCTTATTTCCATGAACACTAACTTCATAATCCTCTGGAGTGAAATGCTTTTCACAAATTACCGTTGTTGTACTGGGAGTAAAGTTTTCTCTTCTTATAGCATATAATCACAACTTCCTCATGTTAGGATCTCTAGGTATCTTAAAAATCCAGATATTTCCTCGAATTACCATTTAACAATTAATTCTCACACAAAAATGAATGGGATGATTGAAACCAACCTGTGAAACTTCATTTTCACATCTTTTCTCCGTCTATTGCAACAATTCACCGGACTGCAAGATTCAACCATTTTTAAACAAATATCACATAAAACAACAGCTCTTGAAGGCTGTCCGGCATAAATATATAATTGTCGAAAAACTATAATCAAATTCAAGCGGATAACCAAATGGAAATGGTATTTACCATTTTGGCTTGGTATTTACCAATCCGTTCAAGCGAGTGTAGTTATCAGTTTGGTTATAAATCCGTGACGTCACGAATCAGCTGTTATATGTCATAGTTATCACCGCAAAATTGTGGTATTTACCCAACTCAATAGTAAATCAAATCCAAGCGAATAACCAAAATTTCTGTGTTATGTGCCGCGGTTATAATATGGTTCAAGATGACACACGGGTTGATGACGTCAGTTACACGAATCGCTTGAACGCGTTGGTTTTAACCGCGGTTTTGTTGCAAGTTGTTTATTTTAGAAAAGCGCGTATATAATCTCTGATTCTTTTTATTATCACTTAATAATCGGTGCTTTTTCGCCTACAACTGTATATGGAAAGTTTAAATAAGAAACCTTTCATAATATTCATGGGAAAAATGTTTTTTTCAGATTTTTTTTTTAATGATGGAACCATGGCTTTGTAGCTATGATAACTTTCAATTCTCTAAATTTTTCCGCATGTCAAAGAAAACATTTATTGATTCAGCAGAAATGATGAAAAAAGAAATTAGCAAAACCGTATACAGGTGGATATCATCTAGTGAGTTTATATGACCCTATTTTAATATTCTTGTAGTATATGGCTACACAGGAACTATATTTAAAGTGTCCCCAACAACCGTAAGGTCAGCCTGTATCATTTTTCTCAAAAATGAAGCTGAAGTACGATAACAATATCCAATACCCGGCAAAATTCTAAGTTGTCTCATTTCAAATAATAACCAGAAATATAAAACTACTCTTGAGTTGGGTAAATACCACAATTTTGCGGTGATAACTATGACATATAACAGCTGATTCGTGACGTCACGGATCTTATAACCAAACTGATAACTACACTCGCTTGAACGGATTGGTAAATACCAACCCAAAATGGTAAATACCATTTCCATTTGGCTATCCGCTTGAATTTGATTGTAGTTTTATATTTCTGGTTATTATTTGAAATGTGACAAGTTAGAATTTTGCCGGGTTTTGGATATTGTTATTGTACTTCAGCTTCATTTTTGAGAAAATTGATACAGGCTGACTTCTGTTTTACCATAAAGTGGAGCACCTTATTAGTTATACTCATTACGGTTGTTGGGGACACTTTAAATGTAGTTCCTATGCTTAACAAAGTATCCTGTGTAGCCATATACCACAAGAATATTAAAATATGGCCATATAAACTCACTAGATGATATCCACCTGTATACGGTTTTGCTAATTTCTTTTTTCATCATTTCTGCTGAATCAATAAATGTTTTCTTTGACATGCGGAAAAATTTAGAGAATTGAAAGTTATCATAGCTACAAAGCCATGGTTCCATCATTAAAAAAAAATCTGAAAAAAGCATTTCTTCCATGAATATTATGAAAGGTTTCTTATTTAAACTTTCCATATACAGTTGTAGACGAAAAAGCACCGATTATTAAGTAATAATAAAAATAATCAGAGATTATATACGCGCTTTTATAAAATAAACATCTTGCAACAAAACCGCGGTTAAAACCAACGCGTTCAAGCGATTCGTGTAACTGACGTCATCAACCCGTGTGTCATCTTGAACCATATTATAACCGCGGCACATAACACAGAAATTTTGGTTATTCGCTTGAATTTGATTTATCACTATTAATCTTTAACGTCACTAAAAACAAACATTCACCAAAAATCCTTAAAACATATATGGAAATACCACAATGGACCACGATGTTTTGCCCTGACTAGCGCTATCCTTCTCGTTTCTCATTCTAGCCGCAATGAATTCGCGTTACGCCTGTTCCATCAGTGTTGACAGTTCACTGTTTCACCACAGCCGACGTCAACTACGAGCCGTGAACAAAGAAATCTGGCAACGTAGGTGGTAGTGTTACTCCCGCCGCTCAAAACGCTGAGAAAACATAACCTTTTCAATTTGTGATTTTGGAATCGCAGAGGCTGTAATTAAGAGATAAGCTTGTTTTCTAAGCTTCAAAGTGTGTGTATGTGTTCAAAGTGATCGGTGACTATAATATATGAGAAATAGACTCCAGTTGTAGTGCTTCTGTGCTTTAAAAATAAACTAGGAAGTGTGACTGTGGCTGTTCGCGCCTCAGGACGCTAAGGATTTCAACTATTGAAAACGTGCAAATTCTGGTTGTATTTTTCAAATTTCAAATAAAAATGACATGGCTAAAACTGTTTTAGCCTTCATGCTATCTTCAGCATTTGGAAACATAACAGAAATTATCAAATTACTAACAGATTCAAATCTAACAGGTGATGAAATGACACTTTTGGTTGGACATGTGATAAATTTAGTTCAAAAATGTGGATTTGAAGTTATTTGTGTTGTTACCGAATTAATAGAGCAATGTTCAGAAAATTAGCAAAGGATTCATCTGAAAATTATTCTATTCCAAATCCACATAATCCTGATAAGAACATATATTTAACTTATGATGTTGTGCATATTTTCAAGAGTATCAGAAATAATTGGATTAATTTAAAAAAACTAGACAAAAATTTTGTATATCCTAATTTTGACAATAATGATATTATTCAGTATGCTAAATTTGAAAACATTCGTGCTGTATATCAATTGGAAAAAGAAGCTTTAGTTAAGGAAGCATATGAATTAAATTATAAAACATTGCATCCAAATTCATTTGAAAGGCAAAATGTAAATAATAGATAATTTATTCCATCACTCAACAATAGCTGCTATGAAAGAATTAAAGTTTAGTGATGCTGCACACTTTTTGGAAATAATCAGGAATTGGTGGGATATTGTCAGTAATACAAGTGTAATAAAAGGAGAATTGAAGCGAAACGAATTTTGTAAGCCTATTACCAATAAATATGATTATAGAGTACAATTTTTAAAAAAATTCCTGATATGGTTAGAAAAATGGCATAATCTAGAGAATAATAATGGACACCTGACACCGGCTCTATATCAAAGCACGCTGACTCTACTTAAAATAATTGAAGAAGAAGAGAAGAATTGAATCAATTTGACATTGAGTATGTATTGCCTGGAAAATGCACCACTGATAATTTAGAAAAACGATTTGGCAATTATAGACTCTTATGTGGCTGCAATTACAATGTGTCAAATGATGAAATTTTAAATGCTGAAAAGAAAATACGGCTGAAGCATATTTTCAATGAAAAGAAATCGTCATTTTCTTTAGCAGAAATTAAAACAAGGTTCCAAAACTGCTTAGAAACTCAAGAAACTTTTGATTTCTTGGATAAAAAAAAAACCCTGAAGTTTTCGATATATTCAATGAAGTATTTGAGACAAATTACGTAGCCAATTGTGACATAGAGGATAGTACTAAGACTTATATATCTGGATATGCTTCACACGCTATCTCTAAAAACCTAAACTGCGAGATATGCAAATCGCTAATAGTTAAAGAAAAAGGTTCATTAACAACAAATGTTTATTTTGATCATTTGCAAAGAGGAGGACTGTCAATTCCAACCAGTTATGTACCAATCATATTCTACCATATGTATGCCATTTTTGAATCTATTATTAATGTAGATAGATTGGAAATTTTCTTCTTGAAAAGCAATAATCAAAAATTTATTTTGTGTCAGTTAACCTTGCTCAGCATTCAGTCTGACTTTATATACAGTGAATTTTCTTCAACTTGCATCTGTGGCCGCAATTATGCAGATATTTTATCTAAGCTTTTGTCCATTTTTTTAAACATAATTTTGAATGATTATGTAAAATTGAAAAATAACAGTAAAACTGAAAGTAAATGTATTAAAAACAAACAGGTAACTCCACATTTCCAAGCTGGGCCTGTTGGAACACAGTGTGCTGACACCAAAAAACATAAACTAAATACTTTTAATTAGGTTAACTGCATTAGCGACTCATATATATCACGATTATTTCGTATTTTTAAATTTTTTAGAGCTATTTCATATTCAGATGATTTGTATCGAATCGAACTGTGCTCTTTTCCAAAATTAAATTTAGTTCTTGAACGTTACACGGAGACGGAGCACACAGCCGTTGGCGGCCGACGTTCACAGGTAGCACTACCATGCCGTCCGAGCGCGGTGTTGCCTTTCTTTCATCACGGCTCGTAGTTGACGTCGGCTGTGGTTTCACCCCCTTGGTAGCAACCAGTAGCAACTGCAACACTGATTGTGTCTGTGTTCTCGAAGCACACACTAGAATTTCAGGCTGAAAGAATAACGACACTAGTCCCATCTTACATGACATTATTTCTATATATTTATTGGGTATAGTGGATACCAAATAAAACCCGATGCACGTCATCGATCTGGAGCTGTGCGCTGTTGCCAGAATTTGCACATTTTCTTTTAAGCAAATAAATTTAATAAAATAAATTGTTTATATATACCTACCATTTACTATAATACCATTATATTAAAAATAAATAAACTTGTTGTAAAATTAAATTCCTTTCTGAATAAAAACACCTGATTTGGTAGATATTCAAAAACACAAAATATTTAAAGAACATAAATTGTTTTCTCGTATTTTAATTAATTTGATTATTTATTTATGATATGGGAACTACAACACTTTTTCAATTCACATCAAAGAACTCGGGTGATGCGATGTTACACAATACCGGCAACTAGCGGCAAGGAGTACTCTTTATCGAGCCTGATATTAACCGCATGGTATGGTTCAGTTGTATATCAATTCCGGAGTTTGATTACATTATACAGAATATATTTTGATGTTTTAACTATTCTGAATCACTGGAATCAGTAGAGTCATCGTTAACATGGATAATAAGGGGAAGAATTTCCTGTCTATCCCAGTGGCGGTTCCACTGTAGGAGCACATGAGCACGTGCACCCCCAAAATAAATAATAATAAATATGTATAACATCCATTTAATAATTTCTCAAATAAAGTCTGAGTCTCCCTGATATTTAATCGTATAAAATCAAAGATCTAGTAGCTCTCCACAGGTGAGTCACCACTCTTACCGCTGCGCTGCCTGATTCGGGCGATTCCGACTTGTGATTCGGTCTGGCCCGGTTCGACTGCCGCCGACGGGTGACGGCGGATGACGACGAATAGTCGCATATGCGATCATGTACGCGGGATTAGTGTGTTTCTCACCCTGCTGTTCTGGTTGCGGGGTATAGCGGGGTTATGGCAATTTTAGTTGGAAAAGGCGCACACTTCTGGAGTGCGCCATTGTCCGTTGCGCGTGCATTTTATGCAGTAATCGGAGGTGTGTTCGAATTTTTATGTTCGTAGGTGTTTTAATAAAATATTGAGTTAAAATGAATGGTTTCACTGCAGAATATTTGAAACATAACTTCAGTTCATTGAGTTTGGAGCAAAAAATTGAAATAAAAAATGCGGGAAGACCAGAAATTAACTTAACTCAGACCACAAAGGGTAAATCTAGAGACTTTATTAGAAAGTTTAAAATGGAAATATATGAAAAGAATAGCTGGATTTGTGGATGCAGCACAACAAACCGTTTGTTTTTCCTGTTTGTTGTTTGGTCACGGGGTTGCAGAGCCTGCCTGGACAAAAAATGGAATAGCCGACTTGGGACATTTAGCACAAAAAATTAAGAAACATGAAAACACTCAAGTCCATATCAATGCGCAACTGGAAATGCAGCTTTTGGGAAAAGTAGATATACGGCAGCAGTTGGACAGTGCATATAGGCGCAGTATTCAACAGCAAAATGAACAAGTTAGAAAGAATAGGTATGTGCTTTCAAAATTATTGATTGCATAAAATTTTGCGGAGCTTTTGAATTAGCCCTCCGCGGTCACGACGAAAAAGATGGTTCATCAAATCCTCGTATTTTTAGAGGTTTAATAAATTTCACTGCCAAATTAGATATAGCACTTAAAGATCATTTTGAAAAATCGACAGTATTCAAAGGGGTATCAAAAATCATTCAAAACGAATTGTTAGATTGCATGTTACAAGTGGCTCAGGAAAATATAAGAAAAGAAATTTTGGAAGCTGAATTTGTTGCTGTTATGGCTGACGAAACATGTAGCTAATTGTTATCAAATGACTACAGTATTTAGGTACATTCTACCAGATGGAAGGCCAGTTGAACGTTTTTAAAATTTTGTTACCCCTCCTGACCACGATGCAGTTAGTCTCTCAGAATGTGTGAAAACTAATTTAATACAAGTGCTAGATAAACCAGAGAAACTGATAGCTCAAAGTTATGACGGCGCTAGTGTAATGAGTGGACGTCGTGGAGGTGTTCAAGCTCTTATTCAACGTGATTATATTTATGCTTATTTCGTTCATTGTTATGCCCACCAGCTAAATTTGATTTTATTGCAAGCTACAAGCCAAAATCAAGAAGTACGGGTATTTTTTTCAAATTTAAGCGATATTTCAACTTTTTTTTCTCATTCTCCACAACGAGTTGCAGTTTTGTATGACATTGTTGGTGCAAGAGTTCCTAGCTCTTCTGTTACAAGATGGAATTTTAAAAGCAGATCTATAAATACAGTATATGAACATCGCGAATTGTTAATAGAATGCATGGAAAAAATAGAAGCTACTTCAAAACAAACTGTTACCATCAATCAAGCCACTGGTATTGGCCGTATGCTACAAGATTCTAAGTTTGTGTTCTGGCTAACTGTATTTCATCGAATATTGCCACATGCTGATATTTTATATAATCAGTTACAAAAAACAGGGACTGACCCAGTGCAAATTCAGACTGCCATAAAGTGTTTTGAAAACTGCATCCAAAAAGAGAGAGACTGCTTGGAAACAATTGAAACTGAAATTTCTGAAGATACCACTACTACTCAAACTAAAAAGCGTCGTGCAAATGAAGACCAGCATATTTGCAGAGCTGTTGCAGCCAAGGAAGTTTGTGATACCATAATTACACATGTAACAGATAGATTTTCTTTTACAAAACATTTAAATGCAGCTATTCTTCTTTCTTCTGATAAATTTCCACAATTTGAAAAGCATTTTCCATTGCAATATTTGGAAACTGTAGTAGAAGCATATTCGTTTTTAGATAAAGTTCGTCTCCAGACTGAATTGGAATTAATTTACCGGCGACCTGATTTCAGGAATATGACTGGTGCCATTAGTTTGTTACAGTTTTTTATAGAAAATAATCTTCAGAGCATATTTTCTGCCACCTTTACACTTTTACAAATAATTGTTACCATACCAATGACTACGGCCGAAAGTGAAAGATGCTTTTCGACATTGAAGAGAATAAAAACATTTTTGCGAAGTTCTATGAATGAAGAAAGACTGTCAGCGCTAGCAATGCTATCTATCGAGAAAAAATGTATCGCGGGTATTCCAAACTTTAACGAGTTAGTTATTGATAAATTTTCTGCAAATAAAATCAGGAGAATGGACTTTACGTTTAAACACTGTACTCATTAAAAAAATTGTATTTTTTATAAATGTATTTTCTTGTGTATAATAAAAAATAACAAAAAATGTGTCCTTGATGCTTGTTTTAGTACTCTTATTGCCTTCTACGTCACGCATTACATAAAAATTTTGGTGGTGGCAAAAAAAATTATTTTATACCACTTGTGAACCCCCTGTATCATAGACCACGAGCCGCCGCTGGTCTATCCATTACTTGTTCCCTTCTATACCATTTCATAATTATCTCCTCTGTATGTCTAATGGAGTTCTTCCACATATCAGGGGTAATAGTTTGGAGTGCCTCTTGCCTCATTTTCAGTGTGGCCATCTCTTCCAATATGCCGATTATAGTAATTTTTTGCAATCCCCCAAATTAGCTCAATTGGGTTAAAAATACAGTGGTATGGAGATAACCGTAAAACTTTATGCCCATATTGTTCTGCCAAGTTATCGACCACATACGTTTTGGTTGGTTTATTCCTAAAAAAAAATAAATAGGAACAAAATGCATAAAGATTTGGTATTCTGCTCACTGTGCAACAATCGTTAGAAGTTCAGATTTGAATGCTTCATGTGGATACTGTATTTTTTGTTCAGTTAACCAATTCTGAATTTCAGCCTTTCTCCATGAGCTATTGGGAGTTTTTACTAATAACACGCTATGGTATGATGCATTATCCATAACAATCACAGATTGTTGGGTCAAGCTTATTAGTAATTGATTTTCAAACCAATATAAAAAGTTTTGCTGGTTCATTTCACCATTGTAATCATTAAGCTGGGTTTTCGATGAAAATATGAGCGACGCACCTTCAACAAATCCATTTTCATTGCCAGCGTGAACTATGATATACCTACAAATGCATTTCATTTTTATATAGAGCTTATTTTTCTATACATTTGAAAGCCCACCTTTTTCCATCAACTTTGGTACTTCTAACACTTCGCTTGTCATTATCTTGCCATGAACGGTGAACGGTGCCATTTTGGAAAATCCAAGTCTCATCTAAGAGGACAAACTGATAAATAGCTTCTTGTTTATTTTGTACGTATGATCTCAAAAAACTAACACGTTTAGATGCAATATTGGGAAGTTCCATAAGCCCTCGTTTGGGGTTATCTTTCTCCCATTTGAAGCCTATTTCTTCTAATAGTCTGCTTAACGACATACGACTGCCCTCAAATAATTGTTTAGCTTTTAATTGCTCCCACAAGCCTGACAGTGTTACATGTTGTTCTACGAAAAAACAATTATACATTCTCTAATTCAAAATATGTTTGTTGGGCAACTTACTGTTTTCATACATGTTGTAAATAGTATTACGAATACCACTTGCATTGAGCCTTGAAATATTAGTGACTCTCTTTGGAGTACATCGTTTTTTAAGAGGCGATTGTAAAACTTCTTTATTTTTGACTGCCTGTGAAATACCACTTATAGCAGACACATTTAATTTCAATGCTGCTGCTACACGCTAAAAATAAGAAAAAGAAGATTAACCTTAATGTTCATATTACTTATGCTATCAACAAGCGTAAACTCACCTCCCTTACAGCAGTTAAAGGCAAAAGTGGGCCATTATTATCCCTTTCCCGTTCGAAGTATTCTAATAAGCATGATATGAGCTCTTTACACTTTACACCGACTGTTAAGTTGTTTTGGCATTTTGGATACTTTACACCACTTCCAGAACGACTTCACAGTAACTGTTGTTTTGAAAAGAACAATTTTTAATTGGCAAGGCAACGATTCAAAGCTCAAATAGCGCAAAACTCGCAAACTAAACAATAAAGAACTAATAGTACGACAAAAGGACAATGGCAACTGATGTCAACAAATGAGAAGTGGCAACCTCACATTTCTCTGCACGGCACTACCAACCGAATCGAGACGGGGAAATTTAAACTTCAAGTAGAAATGTCACATTGAATGTAGTCAACTGTTGGTGACCATGATTTTTATGAATGACATCACCTATGACGTGCAACGGATTTTATTTGGTATCCACTATATTTTAAGATTGCTTGAACGTATTATCTCAATTTTAGTAGATTTTGAGATGTGTCACTGTTCTTGGGAATGCTGCGAATGAGCGATATATATATTTATATATATATGTATATTCTCAGATTTATATGCAGAGCTGGCAACGTTGCGGAATATTAATGTACAATTTAGCAACAATGTCGCACCCTCAAAAAATGGCCGCTGACAACCATACAAGTCACCGTGTTGCGATTGAATAGCATGGAATTAAACTTTCTTCAGTGAATATGTTTTGTGACTTAACTCATAACCTTGAAAACGTATTCTGAACCTGCCCCTTGCTGTTGTGGGTTGTGGACATTAAAACATGGCACTTATTCCTAGTACCTCATATTTCGCCATATTTAGTGCAGGAACTCTAATTGGGGCAGCATCTGCATATTTCATTTTACGCTTCAGACATGCGCCAAATACAGAAATATGGAAAAACGGTATGGAAGAGAGATACGAGGTTAGAAAATTATTGTTTTCCTCCAAGTTTCGCAACTAATGAAGCCCTTTTGCAGTTTGACGATCCCAAAGACGAGTATAGATTAATAATGGCCATCAGAAATGATCTAAAGATGCAAAAAGGAAAAGTTGCTGCACAGTGTGGACATGCAGCTGTGGCAGCATACGCAAAGGCACTGAATAGACCGAAACTCCTGAAAAGGTGGTTAAAATATGGTGAGTTTTAAATCAAGCCCTCGAGTTAAGTGTTGAACGCCAAGGAGGACTAGAGGACACACGTTCGCTTGACTTGAATCGACGCGTGAATTTACCGAGCTATGTTAGTGCAGTAAGTGCTTTCCGCTATGCCGCCGCCGTCGGCTGGGGCAGGCGGCGAACCTGAGAAAATTAAAAACAATAAACAGTGGTAACATTGGTGTCTTTGATCTCGCATTTGATGATGATTCCTCTTCGAATCAAACAATATATAGTTCAAACTACATTTTCTAATAGCTCCTCACTCCCCTGCCAACAAAATGATGCTATTTCTCCCCGAATATTTAATTCTAAATGTGTAAAGTACCACAATGACAATGTTTATGTATTTATTGAAAAAATCAACTTGGAAAATATCGGTAGGTTACATAGGTCATATACTACATAAAAACTTGGATTTGAGTAGCATGATAACAACAATTAGTCATGTTGGAGTTAATAGGGTAAAGGTTGGTGTTAAGGCTGCTACACACAGTGCCGGCAGCAGGGCCGCGGGGCAAGCCGCCGGCTAAACCTCCGTACACCTGGCGGCATACAAAGCCGCCGGCCTTCCGCGCAAAGGAGCCCTGGGGTGTGCCGGCGGGTTACGCGGCTTGCCGGCGTCACTTCGTTCCTGGCATTGTTTGTGTGTTTAAACAAATTAAAATGTCGTTTAATTGGGACGACGAAGCTGTGCTGCTCTTAATTGAATAATTTCATGAAAATGATATATTATGGAATCCCAGAAATGCAGACTACAAGAATAGGAACAAACGAATGGACGCATTGAACATAATTGCAAGTGTATTTGACACTGATAAAGGCGAAGTAGAGAGAAAGTTAAAAAATTTAACCTCTCATTATTTTCGGGAAGTTCAAACAGTTGCACAAATCTGGTGCAGGCATAGACGATGTACAGGAACCAAAGTGGTTTGCTTACAAAGCATTGAACTTTTTGCGAGACAAAAATAAACCACTACCCACAGTAAATAGTGAGAATGATGTAAGTATTCATATTTCCTATATTTCTTGTTTATTTCATCAGTTGTAAATCAATATAAATTGGTTCAGTAGTTCCGATCCTTTGTTCTCAGTAGTTCCTATGTTAGTTCCTTTGAAGGAACTAATGTTACTTTTTTGTATCAGTTGTTCCTTCAAGAGATCTAAAGGAACTATTGAGACTGCTTACCAATTTAATATTAGTATAAATATTTAATACCTCCCATGATAAAAAAATCATATTAGTTCCTTCTATTTATAGATGGATTCGCAAAAAAGTCAGCAAGACAATGCAACAGCGACTAGTTCCCGGAAAAGGAGATGCAGTACTGATGGAGACAGTGATATTGCCGAAGCTCTGCAAGTTTTAAAAAATATGTCAACTTCGTCATCTGCTCGCGACGATGTCTCGGTATTCGGAGAATACTTAGCAAGTAAAATACGAAAAATGGATCCTATGACAATATCTACAGTGCAATATCATATTCAAAATATAATTTACCAGGCTGAAATGGGCGTTTACTCAAGACCTTCCAGGGTGGAGGCAACTCAAGGATATTTTACCACTTCGACACCTGAAAGTGTATGTCCTGCCACTAGCAATTCTAATTACACCAACAATTCTGATACTCAGGACAGCCTTTTTTCAGATTTGGAAAATAATTAAAACTTTTTTAGATTTATGATGCTACATTAGAGATTTAATAATTAAAACTATTATTGCAAATTCTGATTGATAGTGAGATTAGTGGGGCTACACAGATTAACAAAATGTTACCTAGTCAAAGTTGTACTTAAAATCTCATTATATAGATTCATATGCTAAATAAATGTTGTTCCCTATAAAAATATGTTTGATTTATGAAATGTAATTTTGCCTTCTAAGTTGTCCTTGCTCTGAAAGAGAATAGTTCATCAACTCATTTCTGACCATTGAAGGTTCCAAATTTCAATTTATTTCAATATTTGGTGCCGGTATCGTTATCATATTATCGTCAACATCAACGTCATTTCTTCGGATAAAATTGTGCAGGCATACACAAGCCATTACTACAATTTTCATTTTCTCTGGCTGTAAATTAGCCGTTGAATGAAATATTCTGAATTTTTCCAATAATATGCCAAAAGCATTTTCCACGACTCTCCTCCCCCTGCAAAATCTGTAATTGCATGTTCTTTTCGGAACGGTTTTATTAAGTTAGGAGAAATCGGAAAAGCATCATCACCAAGAAATAAAATGGTACATTCATTGTCCGACCAGGTAAAGGTCAGTAAATTTATAGATTCATTTCGCAGTGCTTCGTAAAGCGAGCTATTTCTAAAAACACCCCCATCCGAGACTCTTCCTTGACAACCAATATCGACGTACAAAAAATTATAATTAGCAATTTGTAATTGAAAAATTCACTATTATTGGGGCGTTGTATACGTATGTGTTTCCCATCAATAGATCCACAACAATTGGGAACATTCCATTTCTTGAAAAACAAACGTGACACCGAAAGCCACTCTTCTTCTGTGGTCGGCATCTAGAAGAAAAAAAGGAAGTAAAAATTAATTTAAAATAAATTTAAAAAAATAAACATCCTATACTTATATAGTGACATATACGTAAGCTATATAATAACATATACGTTTAGCGTAAGTGCTTGAACGCCTTCATGTAATGCTATACTCAAATTTTATTCAATTCTAGCAATATCACATACATTCAGGCCATATCATAAATACAAATAAAATAAAAAAATATATTTGGTCAATAGAGGACAAATATACAGGTACATTAGGTTATGGTGTTCTCTAGCTTCCCCTCTAGGATTCCCTGTGAGTGAGCTTCCCTGTGACTATCAAGAGTGAGTCATTAAAAAATATATATTTACCTTGATTTGAAATTTTGATATAAGTGCTTCACAGACTTCGGGAATCAGTGAGGAAAGAAGTTGTGAAATTTTAAACAGTTCTCCAAGACTGAAATAACTTTCTCCTGTTGCTAAAAACCGCAACGTTACTGCCAATCTTTCTTTAGCGGATACAGCTTTTCTCCAGCCAGTATTTTTTTACTAATGTACACTTCAGTACTATCTAGCAATAATTCAAAATCTTCATGTCATTCTCAGAAACCCAAAAAACATGCTATTGCGCAAACGCTGACACCCCACATCATCTTTTTTATACTCGTCTATCATTACAGTACCGTTCCGCCATTGTCTATTTTGCAAACTTGGGCGCAAACCTTCTCGTTATTTTGTCTTTTTTTTCTTATTAAAATAAACATTACAACTGCGGCGGCTGTGCTTTTTTTTTATATATATCGAAACAGCCGCGCAGGCAGAAGCCTAAATGCCGGAAGACCGCGGCTGCTATGATGATCCCAAAGAAATTTTGTTTGTTGTGCTGATGATTTCCTTATTCATTTTAACCAACCAACCATAAAATGTGCACTTCACTAGCGTTCTATGTGACTGTCACAACCGGAATGATGCTTGGAGGCTTTGCGCGGCTTGTGCCGGCGGCGTTAATCGCTCAAGCAAATAGCCAGGTTGTAAACCCTAATCTGAAAAATGAAAATATGAAGGCATTTATCCCGAATAACTTATTACACCATAAAGGCTTAATCAGAGGTGTTGATACATATTTTGATGATGCATACCTCTAAGATAATATAGTTTCATAGAACAGCATTCTCGACTTGAAAAGACTGAACAGAAAAATATCTGAAAATGGTGAATGAAAATTTATCCCTAGACAGATGGTTGTGATTACCTGTGAGAGCAATGTTCTGCCTAGGGAAGTAAATATTAACAGTATCATATTTTCTGTCGAGCACTTTGTTCAAAGGGTAATTCAGTGCTACAAGTGATTCAGATTTGGTCATGTGTCTAACCAATGTTGCAGCACACAATCGCGTTGCATTATATGTGGTCAAAACAATATTAAAAATCACGATTGTGACAAATCAAACATTTTTTGCATCTACTGTCAAAATTATAATCATAAATCTACTTCCACCAGCTGTCCTCATTTTCAGAAACAGCAAAAAATCAAAAAAATCATGACCACAAGGAATATGTCTTTTTCTGATGCAAAAAACTCTGTTGAGAATTCGTATGCTAATGTGGCTACTAATAATAGGTATGAAATATTAGACTCAGCCTTAGATGAAAATTTTTCTCCTCTATCTGGGCGTAACCAAAACATAAGAAATTCCTCTCAACCTTCCCACAGGTATCAACAAACGTACCCTCTCCCCACTCTGGGATCCAATAAAAAAAAGAAAAGTTCAATCTCCTACAGTAATCAACACAGCTCCCATGTTCTCCTTTAATGCAGGCCCTTCACCATCTATCCTTTCTAGTCAAAGTTATCAATCAAATGTTTCCTACAAAGATGAGATCATTGAGAAGCTATCAACTCTTCAATACCAATTAAAAATCAAGTCTACACACACACATATATATATATAACATACTACAAAAAAATGTGTAGCCAAAGCAATGCAGTGAATATCAAAATATTGCAATGGCATGCTCGTTCTGCCGTGTGCAATAAAAACAGTCGTGCAAACCACCTTATCGTCTCCGAAGTAAAGTACCTTGGTATCATCCTTGATAGAAAGTTATGTTGGAAACAGTTTATCTCTCATATTATTACGAAATGCAATGTAAGCCTCTACTTATTTTGTATGGTCCGTAAAACTAGGGGGTCGACCAAAAGATTGCCATTTTATTTTATTGATCTTATAATAATAATAATAAATCTTTATTTCAAAATAACAGTGCATGATTACAATGTATTACACTCTGTTAGGTGAAATATACGCCACAGAGTCATCAAGACAGAAAAAACAAAGAGGCAAAACATATAACATAATAGAGATATTACTTTTCAAAATATTCTTGAAGGTCATATGATTCTAAGTGCATTAACAATTCATAAATACTCTTTTTATATTCTTTTATATCTGCCAACCTTTTAATTTCTTGTGGTAACTTATTATATATTTTAGTGCAGCTGTAATGGACAGAGATTTATATTTCTATTTCTTGTGTTATAGTCACTTCGTGGGTTACTTATATAAGGTCAATTATTGACTATGGTTCCATCTTGTATGGTACAGCCTCAAAAGCACTTCTTTCGTAAATTAAATATCAAAAATAAATTTATTAGGATTTGTTTGGGAGCAATGTGCTCCTCTCCTTCCGAAGCGCTGAGGGTTGAAGCTTTGGAACCACCACTCCATCTCCGTAGGGAAATGATAATAGTAATAATAAATAACCTTTATTTCAAAATAACATTGCACAATTACAACGTAATGTCCGCTGTCAGGTGAAATATACGTCACATAATGCCATAATAGCAAACAAATGCAAGAAACAAAATAGTGTCTAAATATTACAATATTACACAATGTTTGTTTCACATTTCTAGATATTCATCGAGCCCATATGGCTCTAGATTCATTAGTAACTTGTGAATACATTTCTTGAACTCTTTTATATTCGACAACTTTTTAACTTCCTGCGGTAACTTATTGTAAAGCTTTGCACATGTACGTTTTTTTTGGTAATAGTTAGATGATGAATTGGGTACACAAGAGTTATATCTCTGTTCCTTGTATTGTAATTGCCTGGGATTTTTATAAAGTACCCAATATTTTTAAATGTAAAAATCAATATTTCCTGAATATATATTGCCACTATGGTGAGTATTTTATTCCCTTTAAATTTTCCTCTACATGTTTCTCTACACGGAATTTTTAACATGCATCTCAATGCTCGTTTCTGTACCCGAAAGAGCCTGTTTATCTAGCTACTGTGTCCGTAAAAAAATATACCAAAACGTGCAATGGACTCAAAGTTGGCATGGTAAACAATGTTTAGGGTCTTAAGGTCTAGGTACGTACTTAATATCCTAATACTATAACAAGTGCTGTTTAACCGTTTTTGTAGATGTTCTACATGTGTTGCCCTAGAAAGTCCTTGGTCAATATACACTCCTAAGAATCTACCAGAGTCTGTCAGCTTGACTTCTACCCTATCAGCTAAGTGGATCTTCGTAGCTTCGATTTTTTTCTTTAATTTGAATACAATCGCGTTTGTTTTTGATGTGTTCAAGGATAGACCGTTGCGAGCAAAGCACCAAAATGCTTTCTCGCATATGCTCAATGTATTTTCGGCTACTTGGTTGAAATCTTGGCCAGCTATAATCACACTAGTATCATCTGCATACTGAATAGTACATACATTATTCGGGTTTGCTATACTATCACTCAGATCATTTACAAACATCAAAAAGAGGAGAGGACCCAAGACGCTTCCTTGTGGGATACCTCTATTTACTGTTAACTGTGATGACACACTTTGTTGGCGGTCTGTTAAATAAGACTTGACCCAGTTCCAGGCACTTCCCCTTATCCCAAATGCCTCAAGTTTACTCAGTAAGAGAGAATGTTCTACACAATCATATGCTTTGGAGAGATCAAAAAACAAACCCAGTGATTTCATATTATTTTCCAGACATTCTACAATACTCCTTTTTTATATACCGGGACGATTATGGCTAATTTCAGGTTTTCAGGAAAAATACCATGCTTGAGTGAATTATTTATTATTTAAACTAGGGGTTCAAGAATCACTTTCAAAGAATATTTCAGAATATTAGCTGGAATACCATCTTTGCCACTACTCATTTTGGTTTTAATTTTATCCCCCAGCTCCAGTATTTCTTGAGCACTGACATATTTTAGCGGCATACACTGTTCCGCATGGCCTAAAAAGTCAGAAGAGTTATAGGCTGGTGTTTGTGGTAATAATTTAGCGACTTCATTTATACAATATTCATTGAACGCATGTGAAATAATTTCAGGATCACCTGGTATGACACAATCATTTCTAGTTTGACCTTTTATTTCGTTTATAATACCCCAAACACATTTGGACTTATTGTCCGACTCCTCTATGCGTCTTTCATATGACTTATATCTGGCATCCGCTAATAATTGATTGTACTCTTTTCTAACTTTATTATAGCATGGCTTATAAGAGTTGTCACTGTTGCTAATCACATATAGAACATCCAGACGGTCCTTGCATTCCTTAATATTATTCTTTATCCTCTCAGGATGATGCGAGCCAGTGAACCTATTCGTAACTTTAATTGTTTTCATAGGAAAGACCTGTTCAAAAATAGATTGGAAAATATTGCTGAAATAATTCCACTGTTCATTTACATCATTCTGAAACACATTTTGCCAGTCTACAGATTTGAGTCTACATAAAAATCTTTCTTTATTTTCTACACTGAATATCCTTTTTTTCACAGCATTAGCAGGTTTATTCATATCAATTATTACCGTTATTTTTTGAGCAGTGTGGTCTGAGATCGATGAATTAATGACATTTGATACATAAGGTGAAATATTTGTGAAAATATTGTCAATACAATCTTCAATGATGAGTTAGGTGCACCCACCCTGGGATCGTCTCTGAGACTCACCCGTCCACGTTTGAATTCTTCAGACCAACGGGAAATTGTCGTCTGATGTGGCGCTTCGTTGCCGAAAACGACAGTAACTCAGCAAGGCATTCTTGTTGCCATAATTGTCTCTGAAAGTTGTAATAAATTATGGCGCGAAAATGTTCTCGGTTGAGTTTCATTGTTCTAATGACTTGGTGACACTCAAAAATTCAGTGAGAATACTGCACGTATTGTTGTGTGATTCCTCTTTCCTTTATTTTGTTTAATTAATTACTACATTAATAAAACATGATAAATGGAATCTAAGGGTCAGCCAATGCAAAACAGCTGTCTAGTGGCGTGCAAATTTAGGTCCTAGCTCAAGAAAGCGGAGAGTAGCGGGGGTTAAGAGCGCCAGTGAAATAAGACGGATTAAGCCACAAATCTCCGAGATGTTAGTCGGAACCTGCTTTGCTTGACCACCCACACAAAAGAAAAGAATCTAACAGCAATGACGTAACCTAGTTAACTGTACACAGAGAGACAAATAAAACAAGATATTGAAAAAATCACAATACATTAAAATCAAAAAGCACATATGCTCCACCACTGAAGTGCAAGTTAAACAAATTGATATTTTTCAAAACTGCCGCACAATAAAATCATTAGACCGTGATAATTAACCCCGCAAAACGGTTTACTATGGTACACGTATGAAGGCTTTAAAAATAAAGCCTAAACTTATCTGGATAGTGTTTTTCTTCCAATTACGGTTCTAGGCGCGGCCGAGATGTTCGCAGCTCACAAACGCTCAGGTCAAAAACCAGTGGCCAGGAGTGGAAAGTGGTGTCAGAAACGTCACAAGGTAGGGGCTGCTTGCCTTGCTTTCAAAATTTACGGTATAAAAACGCTAGAGAGAGAAATACTGCTCAAAAATCTACTCTCTATCTGAGACAAAACTACTTATTGAAAAGACTTGGACTTGAAAAAACCAGGTACATTTTGGCAAGAAAAGTAAAGCAAAGACAAAAAGCAGAAAAATGGCAGCTCTAAAATAAAAATCATGATCAATGTATGGAGTAAGCCCAATAGAAGGTACCATGTAGGTACTGCCCCATATTTGAATATGAAAAACGCCAAACAAAATCAAGTACACTCTAAGAATTTCAGTCAACAACAATCAATATATAAATATTATAAAAGAGTTAATTAAAATGATATTTTACCTGTTGACAGGGGTTTTCCAAGGGAAATGGGTGGCTCAAAGTAAAATCGACTGCAAAACAGCTACGAGGCAGCTACAAAGCTGGAGGAGTGTAAATGGTGGTTCTCCTCAATGCGTTCCCACTAAAAGGAAGCAGATATTGAACAAACTTATTCGGGACATGCATGAATGCTCCTGGTCCGATGGTATAAAAA